TAGAGTGGTTCCCACTCCTAAAACCTAAGAAAGAAGGCATACATAACTTCTTGCCTTCATACTGCCTGAAACACTGTTGATAACATGCTCTGCAAGGCTTTTCTCTCTGTAAGTAGTATCTCACTTAATGAACTTAATATGTACCACTGCCCATGTCATAGTCCATTGCAAAACTTTAACAGTGATCTTATATAATTTTCTGTCTATTATGTCAGTAAATAGTACATCCAGCTTTCCTATTCTGTAAACTTGAGTATTCTATCTTATTATCATTGGGGGTGCTATTGCTAGTAAAAACAAATGCCAAAAATCTTTCCCAAATCCTGTTGCATGAGTAGCAAAATGTGAGCGAGATTTAAGAGAGATTTCATCGTTAGCTTGAGCTCTGCTCAGCAGTAACCACTATGGAAAGTTAAAATATGCATTCTGAATTAGTTCTATTCTTTTTGAAACTATTAATGTCTTATCAAAAAAAGTGAAGATTGCAGCCTCTTCATGTTTTTTCCACATTTGCTATGATTGGTTTTGTCACATCATTATCCAATCTTAATGCTGCTCTCGCTTTGGCATATTTCTCTTTTCTTATATACTTTTAAGTTCTTTAAGTTGCTTTTTAGTTTTTTTAAGTCTTATTATTTAGCACTACAATTGGGAAGTGTAAATCATCTGCTGCTTAAAAAGGCAATATCCACAACTAGTGGATTTAATCTCAGTCCTGGATTGTGCAATACTGTGGTCAGATTAATGCTGACAGCTTTGTGGTGGAGACCTGATGAGCAATAAGAGGCCTGTGCAATGGGATGTAAAAGTGATTGGGACATGAAATGGCAAGGAGGCCATTTTAGGCGAGAAGGAGCAAAGCTGCTGAGGTGGTGGTAGGAAGGCACCATCGGTGACCTATGGGCTGCTGTTGATCCAATACTTTCAATGTCATTTCAGTCACTTAAGTTTGTAGCACAAACTGACTTTTTTTGAAAGGACAGAAAATTAAGGGCATTTGGACTTCTCGCTATGTCGTTAGCACTAGCTGGGGCTCTTGTACAACTGGATCGCTCAGGTCCCAGTTCGGCAAGTACTTTTCACCTCGGCCAGTACCTCAGAAGTGATTGCTTGTTGGATGTGCAGAAGGGGAGATTCCCCACTCTGAGCTTCACTTTGGCTCTTCAGATGTCACAGCCATAGCTGCTTTGACTTAAACTTAGTGTTTTAGTGAGTTTTACAAATAGCTTTCAGCTGTATAATTTATTATTGCTGTGGATATTTGTTACACACTATTAAGCTTAGTACTGACCCAGACAGCTGCCTGCAGCAGTCCAATCAGATCTTTCTGGTTTTAAGCACATGAGGACCGAGAGGAAAGTGCTTTATTGTGACTGTTGTGACATTGGTTGCAAGGTTCCTTGTCTTTTCTCCTATATGCAAATTAAAATGAAATTTAGCCAAGACCTGCAAAACAACTTTATGTTGGGTAATTCTTTGTGGCGTGCCTGTATAATGATATTACCTTGAGAGGTCTGCAGACTCAAGGCTAGCTAATCCTTAACAAAGGGGATGACTTAGACTGCGTTATATTTGAATGGCTTGGGCCAAATTGTCAGTGGTAAAAGTGGTATAAGGCAACTGTCACAGACTAATCTGAGAGGGAGAAGGAAGATTTTTCTAGTGTTATCAGTGTTGTATGATTGCTCAACTAGCTTATGTTTAGTCAGTGTTCTTACAAATCTGAATTATGAGCCAGAAAAAAATTCCTGATGTTATAACCAGTTATCGGTAGAGGGTGCTATGTATCTTTTGCATTTCATCTGCACAGGTTGTCTGTTTATCAAAGATATTTTTAGTTAATAATTTATTATTCAAAATTCAGTGCAATTATACCTTTGCTTACATTAGCAGTGTGGTTTACTGTAGTATATCTTGATAACGTTAATTTGATTCTGCAAATGAGCAGATTTTCCATTTAGCAAGATTCCATGCTATACTGTGATCAGCTCTGTTATAATGATTTTATGATTAGAGAGTGTTTACTCCTATTTATATATGGTAATAAATTTATGGAATCTAGTTTATAGGTTTACAAAAACACAAACACCACCTTCGCATTTCTTACTGGTATTTGCTGTCAGCGTGGTAACGGTGTCATCAGATGAGACATATGGCTTCTGAGTAGCTGTACAAGCGATTCAACATCACAGGGGGAACAAGTGAACATCAGAAGGAGGTTGTGTGGAAAATAAGGATAAGGAAGAAAAAAACAGCCAACAGGAGCTGAGGGGAACAGAAGATGAGGAAAGAGTAAGAAGATACAGAGAGATGAGGCTGATGAATAAAAGGCATAGGAGGCAGATGAAGGCCAGATGATGGCTTCTGGTTTTCGAATTGTTGCTTTACTAGCTCTGCCTTCTCAACTTCTCTGCCCTAATTGCCTTTTCAGGTCTGTGAGATTTTCGACTTTTTCCCACAGTTAGTGTCCCAGCTGCTTGCAGACTCTTCTGCCGGTTGCTGATAGGTGGAGCTATGAATTTTTTCTGTAAATAGAAAACAGACTGTTGTCTCTCTTGCCTTTTCAGTTATCTTCAAGTCTGGTGGGAGATGACTTGTTCTCTTAAGTTTATTCTTGGAAGAAGTCTTACGAGTAAAAGAATTTTGATTTCTGAGAACTGATAGAGCAGAGTACCAGGGGAATATCTTGGCCTATCTATCCGTCCTTCTGCCATTTCCATTCTTGGTAAACATGGGATAAAAGACATGGTCCAGTTGAGGAATACTCTTGACTCCACTTGGCTTCTGTAGAAAGACAGCTACAGATGCAGAAAGTTATTGGAGATTAACTCTTCATTTAGGAAGACAGGAGAAGCCACTGTTCTATTCCCCTGCTGTTTTGCTGGGTCACTTTTTGGGCAGGGTAGTGTTCCTGCATACACTGGGCTGTGCTTGTCTTTTTCCAGCTGTGAACAGGGAGTCCCAGGGCTGCACCCACAGTGGCAAGGAACTGGACAGCACATGCTGGGGAAACAGCAACAACAAAAATATCCATTGCCTTCCTTGAAGCTGGACAGTGGTGCCCTTGAGTAGGGCACTTCAGAATATGCAAAAGGCATGACTGTCCTCTGTAGTCCTTATCTGTGGGAATCTTCCTCCTGGGAAGCATGCCTCCAGCCTTCCTCCCCTTTCTGCATGCCTAAATGTGTTGATTGAGATCCAGGATCTTAGATCTGTTCCCATCCCTTCTGTGTCTTTTGTTATTTGCTGCTGACAAGGTGCTAAACAAGACCCACAAAGGACATATGTTCTTACACGAAGGTTACTTTATGGCTGGGACATCAAATAGGTTATATTGGACGAAGTCCTCGTTTCCATGTACTGTCCAAAGGGAACATGACAGCTGCCCTGACTCTCTGGAGCAGATCATGCTTCTGCCTGTAGCAGGAGGAGTGGGGAGTGCAGGGGAAGCCGTTATGGTCAGGAACATGGGGCACTCTCGTTTCTGCTCAGCTGATAGCTCTGCTGGAGTGGCAGATGGTGAATATCAGGTCTGGGATCCAAGCCTGATAGCAATCAAGGCTTTGAAAAAACTAAACTACCTAGAAAAAACTAAACACGGACCAGAGGCAGGATGGGTCCTCTGGTGACATCCTGAGGCTGCTGGTGTTCCTGTTTGTTTAGGTAGACCTAGCAAGCCCTGGAGGGAGAAGGAGGGAGTGTGCGTATTTCAGGCTGTCAGTGTGACTCTTCAGCGCTGCTTCTAAGTTATCCAGGCGTTGAACCTTATCCCAGCACAGTGCTAGCAGCTGCAGCTTAAGTTAACAGCTGGTTATGTTCAGGACAGCCCCAATTTTAAAGCCCCTTTTGTTGAGCTTGACAAGGGTTACATGACAGGCTTTGGGAATTGGCGCTTAAAGGCATGGAAGGTTAACTAAAATTAATAAGGTGGCTTGGGGGCAAGCGTAGGGTATGCAAGATAAGAGTTTTATTCTTTGCCCTGCCACAGGCTTCCTGGCTGACTGTAGGCAGATTGCTCTAGTTTCTTCCTGCCTCTTTATGGAAAATAGAAACAATAGGTATTGACTACCTTGCATGAGCACTGAGGTGCTTTCATCTCATGCAGATACGAAAGTAGTAAGAGCCCACGGCAGGCATCCAGAGGCAGTGGGTAATGAGCTCAAAGCAGGGCGCCTGATGTATTCCCATTTGGAAGAGAATAAGCAAGAAGTATTCAAAATAGTGCTTTTCCCCAAGTAACAATTATTTCATTTCAATATAGTTCTTGCTGAGACCCGGTGAGTCATGTCATGGTAGCACACCATTTCTGCAACCCAACAGATATCACTGCTGTAAGTGCAGAAGATTTCCTCAAGTAAACTTTTAAGTGCTGTGTCTACAACGTAAAGCAGTAAACACGGCGGGGCAAGCATCTTGCTCAGGGCCCTCCCGGGGTGAGTTTACGCTCAGAACAGGCAATATCTGAGCTAGCGTTATGTGAATTAGCTCATGTATGTTGTCATCTTGCTAGGGCAGAAGGAAGTTCTTGTAGCCTGAATTCTCAGTAGGGTGAATTAGTACTCACCAAATTCAGTGCAGGTGAGGCCAGACTAGCTTGGTACCTAAGTGAGCTTGTTTGAAGGCTAATCCAGGATCTCTGCAGTAGCCACTCTGCAGTTTTGCTCTGTAGATATGCAGCTCTTGACCTGAATTATTGTTAGTGGACAGAAAAAGGCACTTCTGAAGTGTGATTCATCGTAAGTTTTCATCTCAGGGTGACAAAAATTATGATACAAAAGTATCTGTTTCTCTGTGGTGGTTGTAGTAGACCATATGAATCTAAATTTGGGGTTTAACTGCTTTGTGGGTCTGGGCTAGATTTCAGGTATGGAGGTAGAAGCCTCCATGTCCTGTGAGCCAACCAGTAATACATTTACAGGCTTCCTCCTGTAATATTTCAGAAATACTAGGAAAATACTGCTTCTTAAAACAGTCTCTTTCCTTTCTCCCCTCATGCACAGGGAAATACAGTTCAGCTCTTCTAGTACTACCACTTCAGAGAGCCAAGAACCGTCTTCCGGGGATCAAGCAGCGAGCGCGCTTCAGCAGCAGCTCCTACTGATGGTGGCACGAAGGACCCTTTCAGAAAGCCCACGGGTACATTGTAGTATCTCAGTTTCTAGCATTTTGATAAACTGCCGTATAAACAGATGTTGCCGGCTTGTTCCTGAGACAGTTTTGTTGATTTTCTAGACTACTTTGCCTGGTATTGATCATATGGGAGAAGATGTATTTTATGGTGATGGATGCAATTCAGCTGCTTTCTACTGACACTGAGTAGTGTCCTAGGGGAGTACTTAAAGACTCCATCACCTACAAAGTCGATCTTCTGTCTTCAGTCTTATTTTATTTGAAAGAAAGAGGACACAGCTGTTACGATTTTAGACACACCACCAGATTTTAATAGTATGAAGTGTTTATTCCAGATTCATTACTATCCTAAAGCGCCATGTCTGGTTTCACTTTTCTGAATCGGGCAACCAGACTTCTGGATGTCTGTTGTGGAGTGTCAAAGCCACCTCCTCAATGCAGCTGGTAAAAGAAAATGGCCCCAAGTTCAGTTTGTATGGTAGTATGTGGACATACTTGAAATTTAGTGTTTGGGGTCTGTGACCAATGGCTTAAAGCTGTGGTTTGTTTTTACAGTTCATTTTATAATAACTTTAACCTCTTTTCTTCGATGGCAGATTCTAGTTTGATATTTCTGAATAACCTTAAAATGCCAACTAATTATCTTTCATCTTAGATTTTGCACAGGAACTTAAAGCTAGAAGCAACTTATATAAAGGAACTATTTTAAATTAAAAATCAGGAAATTGTCCTGAATTTTGTATTTCGGATTTGGACAGAGACTTTCATCTAAAAGCTCAGGTGTTTTCTAGCTATTTATAAATCTTGTAAACTGCCTATAAATTAGAACAATTATCATTTGTGGTTTATTTTTTTTTTCCTCTTGTGGAAAAACTGCACCATTAAGAAGTAAGATGTCTTGCTCAAGGTCACACAGCAAGCTTGTTACAAGGCCTGGCAATAATTTCAGAACTTCCTGGTTTCTGAATTTTCGTTTAATAAAACATGAAATTCTGAGCTGATGTAAGTCAGGAAAAGTTTTGTCATTGATTTCAGTGAAGCTAGGGTTTCAGACTGTCGCTGACATCATATAAATTTATGAAGTGAATTTTTCTAAGCCATTTTTTGATAGGAGGCACAGTTAGACTAGTGGCTTACTCAGGGCTAGTCAGAAAGTTTACCAAACGCAGCTCCAAAATCTGACTCCAGCCCAAGTACTGCAGTCCTTGTGTAATGGACTTCATCCAAACGCTGCAGTTCCTCAGAAGGAACCAAAATGTTCACTTGTGCACTAGTTAAATACATGTTAAGCTGTACTGAGGACTGAACAATCAGATCCTCAGGTGTTTTTAATGGACTCTGCTACCATTTTGATTTTTTTATGTAGTTATAGTATGCAATTTAGATTAGATGAGTGAAGTTAATGATTGTAGTTGGTTGACTTTCATGTTACTTTCTGTTGGGAAGTAGGACCCAAGAGAAGCAAACTGTGCCGGTATTAATAACTGTAATATTTTAAAATATATTTTTTCTTTAAATACCCCCCAAATCCATAATTAAAGTTATTTATTTAAAGTGGTAATAGAAATATTAAAATTTGGAGTACCTAAACTACTACTAGATTTTAAAATCGGCGTGGTGAAAGGATTGCAGTCAGTCTAACAGATTTTAAATTGCTTGGAATTGTTAGTAAATGAAAGAATGCTTAACAGCCTGGCATCCCCTTACATGTCTGAACGCTCAGAAACATGAGTGAATTACTGTTCTGTGCTGATAGCGGCTGAACTACCTAGCACTGTGTGGCTGTACACTTTTAGTCAATTTGAGGCATGAGATAAAATGCGTAAACTTGAATTTCTTTCTCTGAAGATTAAGCTAGCCTGTTTTACCTCACGTTTGTCAGCAGACTGAGGATATCAATGAGTTGGTTCCCAGATGACATGCAGCAATACATTAAATCACATGTAAATTATGTGTAAAATTCCTTTTCCTGGAAGGTGAAGATTAAAAATTATTCCAATAATCTGAGAGAATATTTTACAATTCCTTTATGCAGGTGGATGTGTTGTTTAAAAAACTGCATTTTGCTCACAGTTGCAATTCAAGGAGATGATCAGTTACTTCAGACAGAAATCCCCTTCTCTGAGTAGCAAAGTTAATCTTACACAAATAATTAAATGTAAATATTGCCTAGAGTTCCATAATAGGTATATTTGTTATCTAATGTTGTTTAATTATCTTTAAGAAGGGGAGGGGGGCTAGAAGGAGGTTGAAAACCACTAGACCTTGCAGTGATTGGAAATCTCAAATTCTTCTTGAAAGAAAGTGATCCCCCTCAAATCAATTATTGTGTACCTTGGAAAGAAATCACTACTTTGCAGAGGTTTTTTTGTTGTTGTTCTGTTGTCTAGCTTTGCAGGCTTGGCTGATGGTCTGTAGATAAGCCTCCCTCCCCACAAGTGTTAGTGAAGCAGTGCAGGTATAGAGTTGGAGATCTGAAATGCTGTAGTTCAAACAGACAAGAAGAAAAGGCCTTAGAATCTGACAAAAGCAATATTCAGAAGGATGAATTTATGATTGTGATGGTAAGATTAGAGACTCTTAAACTAGTGATTTTTATGCTGTTTTTGCTTGTTTGCAATTTTTTTTTTCTCCTCTTGCTGTTCTTGAGGATGCACACTTGATGTGGTATTAGAAGCATCTCAGGAAAGATAAACAAAGCTGTGTTCTGGAAGGAGAGTTGATAAGTCATCCCTCTAGGCCTTAAAGCCTACTTGGTTTTTTTTTTGATTAAACTCAAGGATTTGTTATGTGTTGTGTTGTAATTAGCATGACATGTTGAAAAATCTTCAAAAAGCAACTTTAGGCAAGCAGTTGATTGGCACAAAAATATATATTTTTTTTTTTTAATATTTAGTATTTATGTTTGAAGCATATTATCACTCTTGAAGTCCATAATTGGTATAGCTTCTGTCCATCTGCAATAATTAAGCTGTGTGATATTTTTATTTCTAATTTAAAATGGAGAAAATAAATATGCTCCTACTATCCCTTTTTGGGGAAAAAAATTATCTGAAACTCCATGTGAATTTGGCCTTTTAAACACCTGTTTTGCTGGCAGCCATATGTCAATGTGAAAGAGTTTTGTGTATTTCTGGTTTGTTTGTTTTTAAAGCAACCTAGCCAGGACCCTGAGGATTCTTCATGTTCTTCAGCACAATGGAAACTGAACAGGCAGTTTTACAGATTTATTATATTCCCTGGAAGATGGATTAAAGTCTGGTATGATCGCCTTACCTTGTTGGCATTGTTGGACAGGTAAGCTTTTTTCTTAATGCAACTCTATGTAGTGTTAGAGTGGGTGGCTCCACACGTCCATAGAGCAATGCAGACCACTAGAGAAGGAAAAAGTGACAATTGTATTAGTGTCTTATATTCAGGTTGAGTAGATAGATGCTTGTTTGCTTTAAGTTGAAGAAAACATTTTTCTTAGAGTTGGTTTTGGTGGTGGTCGCTACATTTTGTCTTCAAGAAGAGGCTTTCATTCAAGTGAGCACCGGGCCTTTAATTTGACTCTCAGCTGTTGGATTCATTGGTTCTGAGCTTTCTGATGGAAAAAAATCAGGGTTTTGTGCAAAAATATGGAAGTGAAATGGTCCCAGGGTATTGGAAACCAAGTACTCTAATCTTAAAAAAAATAAAAAAATAAAAAAATATAGAGTGATATTCAGGAGATCTTTCAGCTGCTTCCTCTGTTCCACTACAGGTTGGTTTATTTAGGGAAAATTTCTTGTCTTAGCATGTCTCCTTTTTTTAGTCCCTCATTTTCATTTGGCATCTGCTCCTCAGGCAGCACCGTTTGCTGTTAGACCTCACATGGTAATCTGCCAGACTACTAGGACCTTCAGACATTTTAGCCTACATACTTAATGGTTGCTGGCTCTTCTATCTTTGCTTTTGAGTGGGCGCTATGCCATATATATGTTAATATGGGCTCCACAGCAGAAATTTCAGATGGCAGTTTTACGTGCTGTAATTAGGGAGCTTAGGTCCAGAGCAGATACTTACTTATCTGTGGTGTCTTATCTCTGTTTCAATTGCATGGAAAGCATCTGCTGATAAACTCTTTTGTTATAGCCTGAATATTAACCTTGTTTTTTATCTTAGCTTCCATGTTCTAATAGAACAGATAAAACGAAAAAAACATCAGATGACAAATTTGGTCTTTCATCTAATTCTTTGTTGTCAGACATATATTTGTCATTAAATGAATGCCTTATTTTCTCACTTAAAAGTGTTTGGGTGTTGTGTTGGGGTTTTTTTGTGGTGGTTTTGTTTGTTTGGTTATTTTTATAAGCATACACTTGCCTACATTTGAATCAACTCCACGTTTTAGCTATCGTAGTATCTTACTGCTTTAGTATGGGGATAAAATACCATTGAACGTAGAAATGTAGTTTTGGGGGCAAAACCTCAGATCCTGTAAATTGTTAGCTCCACCACTGACGTTTCATACCAGCTGCAAATGAACCTGCCTTGCTTTAACAAATATATTAATATTTGTACTTCTCTTAATGCTTTTATTCACATAGGACAGAAGATATAAAGGAGAATGTATTTGCTGTCCTTCTGGTAGTTCTTGTTTCACTTCTTGGCTTTCTGACTCTGAATCAAGGCTTCTGTAAAGATATTTGGGTTCTGTTGTTCTGTCTTGTGATGGCCAGCTGCCAGTATTCTCTCCTAAAGGTAGGACACAAGTTCATATCCAATTGCCGAATTCTCTTCTAACTTCTACAAAGGCAAAATCCTGTAAGCAAACTTTTTTTTTCTGTTTTGATTTTAGAGCGTTCAGCCTGATCCTGCTTCACCAATACATGTAAGTCTTGGCCAGTAGAACAAGTCTTTCTCCTTTATTATCACTTGTGTACTGTGAAACAGTTCGCTGTTCAGTGAAGCACAGGTATAAGTAGTTTGCTGTTCTACATGATTTATGAAAATGAGCAAATGTTGTCTGTGACTTCAGGACTTTACTATGTTTAATTAATTTTAAGCTATTTCAATTTATTGCTGCTATTAGGAAAAATACTTTAAGCTAAAATATGCAGTAAGAACAAATGCATCTGGACTAGTTTGCTGAAATTCAATCCTGTGGCATCAGACAAACTTTTTCTTTGTTTTCCGTTAGAAACAGTGACTGAAAACAGCAGAAGTTACAGTTTAGCAGCTCAGCCATTGGTTGTCTGGTCTTCAAATTTATTTTCTTTTTTGAGATTGGGGCTTGATATTTTTAATTTATTCTTTTAAAATCTGATGTTGCAGAGGTTTTTCTCATTTGTTATAATACGGTCACAGTTTCTGTGCTTATATCCTGAAGAAATGGCCAAATCTGTGGGTGAATGCAGGCTACAAGGATCTTTGCTGGTTGCTATTTGTCTGCTGAGTATGTCTGAGAAACTGAACTCTGATGGTGACAACCACCTTGCAAAGAACCAGTTCTTACCAAGTCTATGCTCGTTATCGAACTGGTTTAGGACCATCATCCTACAACTGCAACCTGACCTCTACATCTGTCACAGTGTCTCAGCATTTTTGGTTTGTTGATCTTGGAAGACATTTCAGTGGTCACAAGGTCCCTTGCTTGCTTTTACACTGGCTGCTTAGTTGCTCACATTTCTTATTTAGCTCTTTGAATGTTTTTGAGGACCCTTTCTCTTCCCTCAGGGTTCAAAAACAGCATGTTGAAAACTGCAGGTCTGCTGAATCATTTCCCTTTGTCAGGGAGCAATTATTTTTGTCAGTTTAGAGGCTAGAAATACAGGCTGAACTTGAAATTGAGGTTATTTACAAGCGTATGCTACACATTTCACTGAGATGGATTTCAGAAGATTCTTAGGTGTTATGGGGTGAACTTACAGTATTGTTGGTTATAATGCATTCACAGAAAAGACCGGTCTGCATAAAAAGTAGGGAAGGCTAATAAACAGCAGCTTACACATTGTAGGGTAATATTTTCAGTACATCAAAGAAATATTTCTGCGTCAGTGAAAAGTTGGGATTTTTGGGGACTAAAATAATATTATTTGTCAGTTCAACTAGAATGTGTCTAGACGTAATGATGTGAACTGTAATCAAATAGTTTGCTCTTAGACATTAGTAATGTGTACATTTGTTTAAAGTGGGTGGCAAACAGTTTAATCAAAACTTCATTATAAACCTATCTAGCTGATATTTTTTTTATAGTATTAAAGGCAAAGTAGCTAATGAAGTTTAAACAGAACATTTTTTTTGTGCAGAATCCAGGTTTGCATTTCAGACTCCCACAATACTGTTACAAATGTTATTTGTGGTATTGCATTCTCTAAGTCATGCAGCTGTGTAGCAAAGAAACAATAGGTGTATTCCCATCTTCCATATGCTTTCCTAAAACTTTATCAGGGATGTTTTCTTGAAAGCTTTTTGGTGCACCATATGAACTCCAATGGAAATAAAATTTAGACTGTTTTTCCACAGAGGGTTTTAAAAGTAGGAGGCATTATAGATCAAGTTAAAATAGAAGATTAGCTATTTTGACATTGTATCTTTTTAACACAATAGATATTTGTAAAGGCTTGCTTGAGCTAGTAAGCACCACAAAAATAAGACAACAAGAAGGTGGGAAAAGATACTCCGTGTACTGTTTCATAATTCATGTGACTACATTAAAATTAAAGAGAATAAAATCTCTTGATGTTAATGTAAGGATGCAGAACAGCAGAGGGATTAAAGAATGATCAGAACCATGTCCATGAATGAAAATGCAGATGTGATTTTTTTCAGTGTGAAACAAACCATCACAAAGCACAGATTTGCACACCGAATTAATTTCTATTCTTGGATCCACAAGTAGCCACTAATGCCTTATGTTATCCATGCCTGCCAAGGACATTCTAGACTTCTTCCCTATCTGTCACATTGAGACTTTGTTATTCTTTGATGTGACTTTGTCATTTGTTTGTATCCTGTACCATTTTGAAAGACTCTGCTTTAAAATACCATCCAGTGAATGTGAAAACACAGTGCCTAGAGATGCATAAGCTTTTGTTCTGAACTGCTTCCGAGCACTAGTGTATTCACTTCCTGGTGTTGAGGAAGAGCTAACTGACTAAAGCCTATAAAGTCTGGTAGTCTGATACAATTCTATTGGAGATAAGATAACTTGTTGCCCCCGTACCATGCTGTGACAACTAGGGTCTCAGAGTTGAATACTGTATATTGTCTGTATACTGTCACTGTGGTAAGGGATGAGTTTCAGTATACAGAGAAAAACCTATCTAACTCGGCAAATGTTTTGAGTTTTATAATCATTTTTACTCATTGAATTGTGATAATAGTTCTGTTTTGATTAGCTTTGGTGTTTAAGTTGGAACTTCCATGTTCTACAGCTAACGCTGGCTACTGGCGTTTATTGTAGCTGCAGGTTTAGTGCTGTTGCCTGCTGCAAAACGGGAGCCTAATTTTTCTGTCAGCCTGTGCTTTAGCCTTTCTAGCTCTGCTCTGTTGGGAGCTGATGGCCTTTAGTTGCTCTTCACACAGGGTTATGTGGTTCTGGGATAGTGAAATTTGGGAACAGCCTCCTCACAGAAGTGATGGGGAGAAGAATAATAAAGTCCATCCCAAGTGTGAGTTGTGTCAGTTTATTAACAGCAGAATATAAGGGAGGTGCCAGTGACTGCAGGGTATTAAATTCAGAGATCAAAGAGATCCTTGTTGTGTGCATTTCAAGGTTTTAGACAGGTGGCTTTGACTGCGGAGTTTCTTGATATTAGTTAGAGGCAGCAGCGAGTTGGGCAACAAAGGCCATGTCTGTGGTAAATAGCTATATAGAAGGATCATGAGAGCTTGTCTTGAAGTCCCACATAAGGCATCTGTATAGGTCAGGATCTAGCTCAGGTTTGCAAAGGCGTTTGAGCTTTGAAAGATTGCAGTCATGCTCTTAATAAGATTTACAGAATCACTTGCATAACTTCATTGTCTTAGTTCCATTACCTGCCAAAGCAGATAGCTAACTCAGTTGGGTAGCTGCATAGGCAGTTTCATAAATCCCATAAGGCACTTGAAAGTATTTTTAATTTGTCCCTGTAAGCTGTTCTGTAAAACTGAGCACACATGCTTTTCTTTTTATATAAAGGCTACTGTCTTTTTCCTCTTGCATGTGTGCACCCATAAACAAAAAAAATCATTAGATCTTTCAGAAATTTCCTCATCAGAATGCTTTACAGTCAAAAGTGCTATTTTACTAAATGGAAGTGTTTATGAAATTATTCTATCTCATTTGAAAAATCTTAATATTTTTATCTAAATACAAGATGCACCAGTGCTGTGTTTGTAGGATGTGAATATGTTTCTAAAACATATTAATGAGAAACACGGACCTGAAAAAGTTATTGGCGTTTTTTGGCAAACTTAAGAAATGGAAGAGTTTTCACTAAAATTTTTATTAGCAGAGGAAAAAAAAGATTGTTCAACAAATGACATGTAAAATATAAAAGGTATCCTACTTCATTACTTAAATTCTTCTGAAGGAGAATGCAGAGTGGAGTAGTTTCACTAAGATGAAATCGGTTTTACATGTCAAAATTTCATGAGTTTGTCTAGTAGAACAAAATGAACCCTTAATATCTAAAAATACCTTGTGTTACATTGCCACATGCCCATTTTGGTGAATGGCTGCCTAGCTTGGTCTGTCAGTGGCAGGCACAAGAAGGCTTTGGCTCTTTGTTTGTTTGTTTGTTTATAAAACCTTGAAAAAAGAAAATGTAACGTCCATCCCGTGATTGTGACTTTCAGGAGGTGATGCAACTGTCCCAGTGATCTTTCTCCTAGAAGATGTCTGCTGTGGGTCTCCCACCCATCCTGTCCCCAATAATCCACCTCACGCAAAGGGTGTAAATGACAGTGAAATACATCACTAACGCTCACAGCAATTCCTCTTTCTTGTGTTGCCTGTTCCCCAGATGTGGGAACTGGAGTATTTGTTGTGCTCTGCGAAGCTCATTCAGCTTGAGCGTACCCCAAGTGGTGTGACAGCTGTGCAGCCAGTGTCCTTCCAAATGCATTGCTGCTGCACTGCTTTGCTCCTGTTGATCCAATTGTAGGCGAGATTTCCTTTCCAGGATTCTGTATCATTCACCACTACCACCTGGAAAATAAGGAAGATAGTATTTTCTCACATTTTGCAGGCTGCTCAGACAGCCTTTGAAAGCTGCTTCCTCAGTCCTAACTGACATTACTGTTGCTAGCATGGTAAAACTGATTTATTTAGAGTAGAATAGAATAGACTAAATCAGTTGGAAGGAACCTACAATGATCATCTCATCCAACTGCCCGACCACTTCAGGGCTGACCAAAAGTTAAAGCATATTGTTAAGGGCGTTGTCCAAATGCCTCTGAAACACTGACAGGCTTGGAGCACTGACCACCTCTCTAGGAAGCCTGTTCTGGTGTTTGACCACCCTCTCAGTAAAGAAATGCTTCCTAATGTCCAGTCTAAACCTTCCCTGGCGCAGCTTTGAACCATTCCCACGCGTCTTATCACTGGATACCAGGGAGAAGAGCTCAGCACCTCCCTCTCCACTTCCCCGCCTCAGGAAGCTGTAGAGAGCAATGAAGTCACCCCTCAGCCTCCTTTGCTTCAAACTAGTCAAGCCTGAAGTCCTTAGCCGCTCCTCATAGGACATTTCTTCCAGTCCTTCCACCAGCTTTGTTGCTCCCCTCTGGATTCATTCAAGGACCTTCATGTCCTTCTTAAATTGTGGTGCCCAGAACTGCAGACGGTACTGCAGGTAGGCAGCACCGATGCTGAATACAGCAGGATAATCACCTCTTCTGACTGTCTGTTTATGCCATGTTCGATGCACCCCAGGGTGCGTGTTGCCCTCTCGGCTTCCAGGACACAATGCTGACTCATATTGAACCTGCTGCTGACCAGCACCCCCAGATTCCTTTCTGCAGGCCTGCTCTCCAGCCACTCCTCTCCCCATTTGTACTTGAGCCCAGTGTTACTCCATCCTAGGTGCAGAATCTGGCATTGTGACTTGTTAAATTTCATCCCATTAATCATTGCCTAGTGCTCCAATCTATCTAGATCCCTCTGCAAGGCCACCTGTCCCTCAAGAGAGTCAACAGTATCTCCCAGTTTGGTATCATCAGCCACCTTTGCTAATGGTGCATTCAAGTCCTGCATCCAGATAGTTGATATATCAATATACAGAACTGGCCTTAGAGTTGAGCCCTGAGGAACACTGCTGGTGACTGGTCACCTGCCAGTCGTAGCCATGATCACTACAACCCTTTGAGCTCTGCCCTTCAGCCAGTTCTTCACCCAGCACACTGTGAACTACTTTAGAAATAAGAGTTAAATATACACTGTAAACCTAATTGAGCATGTCAGTGTTCTGCTTGGAACTGAAAGGTGTGTGGAGCTAAACCTCTGGACTTCTAGTCATCAACTCTGTCTTATGCAACTGTCTTCAAATAATTGCCATGCAAAGATACAACCTGAGTTCTGTAATTCAAGAGAGAAGACAAGAATGTAACATCACCATAAAATAGACTTTGGTCTGGAGTGTACATCAGGATGTAAATCATTAAGCAATTGTTTAGATGCAATATTTACTCGTTTCTTTTCCTAAGGCACAGCTTGTGTTTAAGATAAATGAACTGACGTTTAAAACAGCCAGAAAGTAATATTTTAATAATTTTTTTTTTAAAAGTCAGTTTTTTATCTTTCTAACTCTCCTTTGAGTTTTTTTCATGGACATGTGTCCTACTTTAAAAAAAAAAAAGGCATTAGTAAAATAGAAACTGATAAAATAGCTACGATGCATCAGTGTGACTTGATTTATATTCCATGGATGTGAGGTGCAATATAAGCCCACTAGTTCCCTGCAATCTGCGACCTTGTTAACTGATTGATCCGAAAAGAGAGTACAGATCAGTTAATAGCGATGTGAATATATGAGCTTGGCTGACAGCCAAACAAATAGGGACACTGTTTCAAATCAGTAAGTAGACTCAAAAAAAGAAGTTATCTTTTATACTCACTTAAATTACACTTTACAAATAAGAACAGTTTCACAGCAGCTTTAAGCAAGGCAGACTTGCATCCTTGTCACTTTGCTCCTGGCTTTTCACACCCAAGGAATCTTTTGACCCCCCCCAGCATTTAAAATGTCTTATTTACCCTTAAGCTTGCTACCAGGAGAACTATTAAGATTTTTAAGTGTCTGTTATTCTCCTTGGCCCACAGCCCCGCAGCAGTGTTTTGTAGGATTACTGTGAATCAATCATATGAGAGATGGATATTAAAGAGTAAGATTAGGATCCTTCCAAACATTAGTTCCTTTGAATCATCATTTCAAAGTGCTGCGTGGCGGACCGGAAACTGCTGCTGAGTGTCACCCCCGACAGGAGGGACACTGATTTGCTGTCAAGTGGTTCAAATCGACAAAAAAAAATTGAATTGTATTGGTGCAAGAAGTCGATCTCCATGCCTCACACTGCACCTAGGAGGTGCTCTGCTATTTTTTTTTTTACTTCCCAGGATGCAATTAAAAACTAATTTTATATTTCATAAAGAAAAAAAAAAAGTGAAGCTGTCTGAAGCAAACACTCATTACGATAAAAGTAATATAATTTTCTATTTCTATTGAAAAGAAAGGTTCATACAGATTGAGGTTTTTTTTTCTCCACAGAAAATGACGACTTCTACAGTTAGTGTGTTTTGAAAGGTCTAGAAGGTTAGATTTTCAAAAGCATAAATGATTGCTGGGGTTAGTCTTAACTGCTTTTTGTGCCTTTTGAAAGTCTCCTCTGGAGAAGATAAAATGCCTTGTAACATTTTTATTATTAATTAGTATGTATAAGTCATTAAAATATTTTGTTTAACTCCTGACCCTCTCTCCAGTTTAATGTAGTGCATGCAGGAGAATGAATATGAAATTCAAATACTTTTTTTTTTTTTTCCAGGGGCACAATAAAATAATAACCTACAGCAGACCTGTATATTTTTGTATATTGTGTGGCCTTATTTTGCTGCTAGATGCTGGATCTAAAGACGCAAATCCTCCAGTTTATACAATGTATGGCTTGAAGCTCTTTTCGCCTAGATCTCTCCAGTCAGCCAGAGACCACATAATAGGTGAGTAAATATTTTTTGTGAGACTGTAAAAATGAATTAAGCATTAGCGAGGGAAGTCTGTGTTTTCCCATGTTGGCAATCAAACGCATGTTATGGAGGCACAACTCTAAGTCAAATTGATAGAAACATTTGGAATGACTTAAGACAGGGGGCAGGGGGCAGCTGGCAAGCTTTCCTCGTGTAAAAGGAGTTCTTAATGAAATGAGGCTCATAGAAACGTCTCTATAGAAAACTAACAGTCACTGATGTTATTAGCAAAAGACATCATCTGTGAAATGCAGTTAATCTTTGTAAGGGCTTGTCTGTGCAAAGCAGTTACTGCAGAATAAGCTGAGTTTTAAATTTAATGCCTGGAAGCTAATCCATGCCAAGTCCTCAGGTGGACGTTCTTCCACTCATGAAGAACATGCTTTTCCTTGGTTGAGTTTAATCTCGCTGTCCATGTGATGATTTAGTGTGGAGCAGCCACTTCACAAGTATCTCTTCCAAACTGTTTCCTTCTGGAATCATGTCCTGAGGTGGCTGAGGACACTCAGTTATTGCCCTGAAATGGGACTGATGAACCTTTGGCACTAATTCGGAGTGGCCACAGCTGGAAATATGCAGTTCTGTCAGGACGCTTCTTCCTGTTACACACTTACAGTCTGTAACTGATGCCGCCCAAACTGTGTCACAGATATGGGTGCTGAACTGGACTCAGGTCAAGTAGTGCAATGCTGTTAGGTGTGAAGTAGAAAAGTTAAAGTTTACTGTAAAAGTTGTGAAAAATTCCCAAGAGCTGGACGTGTCATAATGTACCAAAGACAACCCATGGATTTGTGAATTTAGAACTAGGTAAACCTACAGTAGTAGAGGAAAAAACTTTGTAATACAGAGTTTATGACCTTTGAGGTCTTTGTTTACCTGTGACTGTTGTACTTGTGTTTTGCTATATTCAAGTCAGGCTTCTACTGCCTGAAAAGTATACTATTTTTAGGAAAGCCTTCTGGTCCTTTATATGGGTTCATTGACTCCCAGTCCTTCTCACCAGAAACAGGGGAAAAATGAAGACCTGCATCTCACTTATTTTCATTAGCTCCTTTCATTACTTTCCTTTGGTCTCATTAAAGTTTCTTCTTACATCTTATTTTCTCTGCCTGTCAAAGGTGAACAGTAAAAGTGCTGATAAATAATTCAATAAGAATCTTAAATGACGCTTGGGATAGAGATAAATGAAAAAGCTATAGCAACCAGTATAAGAAAACAAAGTGTGGTTATAAATGTGCTAATTTTGGTTGGCCTCAAAAGAAATGGTAGAGCAGGTTCTTGAAACAGCCTGGAGAGGGTGGGGAAGAGAGGAAATACAGGCTCATCTCCCCAGCTGGCATCTGTTTAACACAAAAGGGAGAAGGAACCATTTCCCTTTGCTTGTCCCCCATTCTTATTTTGCCGAGGTACATTTGTTCAAGTGATATTTGGTGCCATGCTTGGACTATTCCTTGCCTTGGCTCTGTGGGAGTCCCAACTGCTGGCTGCTGTGAATTCTTGCAGCAAGTGTTCACGGTGCAGCCACTTCCTGTAAGCCATGGTGGTCTGGCATCCTCCAGCATCTTGCTGCACTTTGAGTATGGATTCCCTTAGGCACTGAAGGTATAGGAGGATTTCTTTTGGACAGTAAAATCAGGAGGGAAGCTGGCCCCACTGAATACCAATGAAGTGTTGCTATTGTTTTGTGGTTTTGCCTATTTGCTAAGTATTTTTGATATCTCTTTATTGTTTTGTCATCTTATGGTGACTTTTTAATTTATATTTTATTCATAGTTTATTGTAGTATTCAGAGTTGATATGTTGGGAAATGAAGGGGTTTTTGACTATATGTTACAAATACCAAGGAAAGGAAAAGTCTTCTATTTCAGGTGTTTACTACAGTAAGAAGCTAAAGGGATGGAAATCCTAGAAAGGCTTTACCAGGGAACTAGTGTGATGCTGCATAGCATACTATGACAAAAGTCTTGGAACAAGGTTATAAAAGAAAATCAGTGGAAATTTGTTAGATATGTAACTTAATCACTTAAGAAATGTGGCTTTTAACAGGTCCATTTCTTTGCAAGCAGTCTATTTAGGATCTGATTGTGTTTTATTTTAAATTGATGGTGGTTCTGCTATTGATATATATTAGTTGGGGGATGATGGCTTTAATTCTAGCCATGGTTTTCATCTTGAATTTCATATTTCAATTGACCTTTTTGCTAGATTAACATACATAGTACAAGTAAGGGCACAGACAGAGCCAGCCTCAGTCACTAGGTGCTACAGGTGCGGTTAGTGACAAAAGTAGTTACTTGTATGATAGTATGTGTGATAGTTTTTGTGTTGAAGCTTTTGAATCATCAGAGTGAAATTATTTGTCAGACACCTCAGAAGAGTAAGTATCAGGTTATCAGGTGGTGGCAGAATTTTGTGATAGCAAGTCCTCTGCCTGCTACTTTCAGCGATGACTGAGCTTCTGTCAGAGGGAGAAAGCTTCTGAGCATGTTATCCTCTGCAATATTCAGGAAGGGGAGAACAAAAAGACTATTTCTAATTGCAATAACACACACCCCACCCCTCCCCCATGAAAAAGTATGTATTATTACATGCCGAAAGGACTAGTAGTCAGATACATCACTTTTTAAAAAGTAAAAATGTTCTAAACTTCTAAAACATTTGCAGTGGCATTGCCACTGGGTTACCATTCTACATTTTTCAAAAGACCCAAAGTTTCCAAAGTCAAAACTTGTGTTGCCCTCCTACACTTATCTGGTAGCTACTCGTTTAGAGGAAACCTCCAAACTCAGTATTAAATGCCAGCAGCTCACATAAGCATCTATTAGTGGTCCAGCTCTTAAAGGTGGTGTTCTGTATGGAAATGTGTGATGGTTAAAGAAATTCTCCCTGGAATTCATAATGCAATTCCAACTGATTAATCAGTTACTTTTATTGTCTCCTTCCCATAAGGGAAACTAATGTTCCTAAATTCAATCCTTTTGTAACTGACAGCTGTTTGTTTTCCTCTCTGGAATGCTGCTTTGTGCAGGATAAGATAAACAAAACTACCTTAGCTAAAGAAGTCGTTAGAATTATTCAAGGTATTAATAGAGACAAGGTGAAGCAAGGACATTGCTGTAGTCAGCCAACTTTTCCTTTCTTGTTTACATTCTTCCCTATATATTTTGGTGTACTGACACGAGAATGTCTCTGGCCTTGTCCTTCCTTCCCCTGCTCTTATTCAGCTTTTTCCTGAGGTTGCTACAGTAAAGGCAGTTGTTTGGATTGTGAGTCCGTAGTCTAAGATGAATTCTAGCATCTCTGTAAGTCCTTTTCCCAAAGAACAAGATCTCCGTGAGTTTCAGCAGTGAGTTTTTGAGATAATTGATCCTGTGGCAAGTCCACGTGGCCTGCTGGGTGGTTTGTGTCATGCCATTGTCTGTCTTCAAGAGTGGTCAGTGCTTGGCTTGGTATGGCTTGGTGGAATATCTAAAAGAAAAGAAGATTAGCAAAGTGGCATTTGCACGTAAAAGATTGAGAAGACAGTGCTTCCTCTTGTTCTTGCTTATGTATAATTTGTGCTAGTGGCAGGAAGTCCTGAAGAAGGGTCCATTGTGAATGCAAGTATACTTAAGTGAGCCCTGTCTGTGTTTAACACTTGAGTATGTATTTTTTTTTTTCTTCTGTGTTTGACTTCCTCAGAAAGATTTACAATATTAGATAGCAGTAGTGCATAATAGGATGGAGATAAAAGCTGTCAAATCAAACTCTGTGTATTGTTTTATTTTAGCACAAGATGCATTAACAAGAGGAGCTGGGAGTAAAATGTGAAATCAGCATTCAACAAACCACAAATCCTATTGTTACCTTCTTAAAATTTTACTGGGTGGGAAGGGGAATAAGTTGTAGTAGTGATTTGTTTAAATTGCTTTTTATGAGAATGAATAGGAGGAAACTGCAGTTTTCCTAGCATGTAAACTAACAAATACATACTTCTTCATGAGGAAGGATGGCTGACATACATCTCTTCTCCTTCACCATGCAGAACATTCTGGTACTAGTACAATGAAGCAGTAAGAATATGATTAAACATGTGCGTGTATCCTTGAAAGCTGACAATACTGGATACTTGGGTCAAATGTGTGTTTAGATGCTTTGTTAGACAACTGTGCTTAGCATTTTCTAGGGTGGAGGTAAGAGTAAACGGATGAGAAGGGAGGAGTGGCTGGAAGTAAGCAGAACATAAGACTAGCATCACAGTTAAGTAAGAGTTAAGACTCCTGTTTTTCTTTGACTGTAAGGCAGCCATTTAAATTAGCATTTCTGTTTAGAAAGACCCTATATAAAGACGTCAGACTGGGTTTTGCCACTGATTTTCTTTACCGTTTTTAATGTTTTTTCACTGCTGCAAAGTTAAGGTCCGTCCTGCTGGAAGCTGGGGAAATATTCTGGGAAAGTTTCACTATAGGTTTGTCCCATTTTTATGTGCTGCTTGAAGTGTCTGCTGTTGATTTCGGGCGGAGGTAGGATACTGTGATAGCCAAGATGCTTAGGATCTTAGCCATTAAATTTTTGTTTGTTTGTTTGTTTATATTGAATTGTTATACCTGCACTTGAACCATCTTAGATTCAATGACAAAGTTCCAAAGTCTGCAAATTAAAATTTCTGTACTTTAAATAGGACACATATAACTTTGAAAGTATTTGAGAAGCTGTAAGGAGGCCACGTAATGCTATTTTTTCTGCCACTACTATTATCCAAAATTAAGCTTAAAGTTAACCTCTGAGCTTTAGTTTCTTACATGTAAAATAGCATAATTTATTTTTAAGGCATGAGAAAGTGTAATTGTTGCTGCTAAGGTTAAGGTATGCTCACTTGAGTAATCTTCAGAATTTATTGCAACAACTGCTTATTCTGGTATGATGGACGTTTCTCTATTCTCCATACATTGTGATGTATGACTGTGTTCTAACATTTTTTTTTTCCCCTGTAGTTTTTTTGTATTGCTTTCCTGCAATTTCTCTTCTTGGTCTTTTCCCTCAAATCAACACCTTCTGTATATATCTTTTGGAGCAAATAGACATGTTGCTTTTTGGCGGTTCTGGTAAGTAGCCAGTTGCAGCCTGAGCTGTCCCTTTCTGGGGTTATAACCTTAGAGTATAGTATAGCATGTTTTAAAGCACAGTACACGTTGAAGCTTATATCAAACAGCTAATGGTATTCATATGGCAGTGGGGTGAATACTAATAAGACCCCCTCAATTAGATTTCTTTTTTCTTTTGAAAAGTTGTGTACAAGTTGTACTATAGGCTGCAGAATATGGTTGACATCAAAGAGCTCTTTCCTGGCATGTCTAATGTGAATCTTTGCTATATTTATTAAAAAAAAAAAATCCATTAAAACTCCATTTAAAAAATAAAATTAAAAAATTATGTTTGCATTGTTCCATGGTAAGGCATGTTCATAAGATATTGGTTGTGTGATTTTTTTGGGGGTGTTATTTCAGTCACAGATTAAACAAGGCTCGTGAGAGAAGATGCATCTTTTTTTTTTTTTATTGGTAGTGGTGTTTTGTAGTTTGTGTTTTTTTTTCATTATAGCTTAAATAACAGAGGAGATTGGGATGCATCTACACTGTCATCTTGGTTTGAATCAGAAACAAACTTCTTTCTTCTTTCCACTTACCATGTGTTGTTTTGCATCATGGAATGATTCCATTTGGATGAAGCTTAAAAGAAAGGTGCACTGTAAGGGTGCACCTATCGCACTCCAAACAGTAATGAGCCTATAGTCTGTGGGACCAGACTAGAGATAATCTGCAGTAAGACATCTCAAACATGTCTATCATGGATATGACATCCTTGGCACTTTTCATTCCACAGACCCACACTTACTGCATCATTCTTCTTGCTACTGTAGACGTAGCCTTTGGCAAGTGGTTAAAACTAGTACAGATGATACAGATGTTCTTTGCTTTTTGTCTCGTAAATTCCATAGCAGACCTGCAGGAAGTAATGTGTTGGATAAAGTCTTCATCCTAACAATAGCTATGATTCTGGTGTATGTTGAACACTAATTAGAGCACAGTTTTGCAGCCCATATGTCTCCATTGTTGAGACTGCTGACCACCTAATTTTGCCCTGGCTGCTTTTCCTACCCTGCTTCTGGAAGCTCTCAAAGGATGTGATAGCAAGCAATCAGCTGGCATCCTTCTCTCTCCCTTTAAGTTCATTCATGTTTTTTAATATGGTAAAAATCATGATTGTCCAAGCAAGTGAGGATGATTTTGGAAGATACCAGAGCCTATGTCTCAGGAACAAAGGGAAGGAGGAAAAGTCCACGTGGAGTTTGACTAGAAAATTGCCAGTTTTGTAGACTACTTCATTCCCCATTTGTGGCTACATCAAGAGGCATACTGATATTTCGGCAAAAGAGCGTTCACTACAAAAAGCAATAGTGTGGGACGTCAGGTGAATGGAAAAGACATGGAATACAGTGGCATCAGGCTTTCAGTCTTAGCTGTAAACAGTTTTGTGAGCTTATTTGGGGCATTGAAGGTATTCTGTCAACAACCAGCTTTGTGATATCTGATTTTAATATCTGTACCTCTTGTAGTGCAAGAGTTGTTTAATTTTTTTGATTGCACATTCTCATTTAGGAAGAAATTAACTAACAGGTAATGTCTGTATTTCAGCTGCTGCTGGGTTTGTATCTGCACTATACAGCATTTCCCGAAGCTTTGTGGTTCTGATTGTCCTATACGCTTTCTGCTTCAGTGCAGTGAAGGTAAGCCAGAAAAACAACACTGGAAAAATTCAAAATTTCAAGCTCAAAATTCATATAATCTAGGGAGACCAGCGTTATTTGGCGCTACATTGTCACTGTTGTTTATCAAGATAAGTTTTACAAGCCCTGCTTCAGGTTCTGCCTATTAGCTACACTGAAATTTATTGAAACTGTGGTAGAAATACTGGAGTAAATGGGTATCTAATACTCTTACATGTATTAGTCTGAAATGATCCATTAATTTTCC